TCTGGAGCTAAGACTGAATGCGTTTCAGCATAGATGGCCACCACAAAATTCTACATTGGCTCCCGGCTGGCCTGGGCCAGGGCCAAGGCAGCGGGGGCCGTTCCTTTACTGTTTCCAAGATGGCTTTGCGGGCCACATCAGGCCCCGGGCCTTGTGTTTGCCATGTCTAGACTAGAATTACGAGGGTTCGGCAGCAAGACTGACTTCATCCCCCAAAATGGAAGGATGCTTGGACTCCCACAAGGGATGAATGGCTGCAAAAGTTGATGGAGTTAGCAGAGATGGCTAAACCGACTGCCTTGGTTGAAGAAAAAAAAACCCCACAGTTTTAATTCATTGCGTGACCGTTCAAAGTTACAACTATTTTCCCCCCGCGCTTACAAACTTTGTAGCATCCCCATGGTCGCGTGCTCAAAATTCAGATGCTTGCTGATTCGTACTTGTGACCGTTGCTGTGTCCCAAGGTCGTGTGATCCTCTTTTGCAACCTAACCCGACAAACAAAGTCAGTGGGGGGGAAGCCAGACTCACTTAACAACTGGGTCACTCACTTATCAACTACAGTGATTCACTTAATCACGGTGGCAAGAAAGGTCACAAAACGGGGCAAAACCTCATTTAACAACAGACATTTTGGGCTCGTAAGTTGAGGAATATCCGTACTTATCTTTCTACTTGGAAACCGCTTCTGGACTTTGTGCCTGAGGTGGGGAAAAAAAATGAAACTTTGATTTTGGGTTTTACCAATTCGGTACGTTTGTTGTTATAGAAATGGCTAGTTTATATTATTAGGTAAAAGTAGAAAGATGATACTAAAATGCAGAGACATCACCCTGCCAACAAAAGTGCATATAGTCAGGGCCATGGTCTTCCCAGTTGCAATGTATGGCTGTGAAAGTTGGACCATAAGAAAGGCTGAGCGCCAAAGAATGGAGGCCTTTGAACTATGGTGCTGGAGAAGACTTCTGTGAGTCCCCTTGACTGCAAGGTGATCAAACCGGTCAGTCCTAGAGATCAAGGTTGAAACTCAAATACTTTGGCCACCTAATGAGAAGGAAGCACTCACTGGAGAAGGACCTAATGCTGGGAAAGATCGAGAGCAATAGAAGAATGGGACGACAGAGAATGAGGTGGCTGGATGGAGTCCCTGAAGCAGGAGGCGTGAGCTTCAATGGACTCCAGAAGATGGTAGAGGACAGGAAGGCCTGGAGGAACGTTGTCCATGGGGTCGCGATGGGTCGGACACGACTTTGCAACTAACAACAGGAAAGATGAGGTTTGATGCTCTCTCCTTATTCTACTGCGCCAGTCGGAATTCAACGCCTTTTCTTTCTCTCCCCCCCTTTCCCTACACCTTTCCCTCCCCTTCTGCCTCCTTTATTTTCCTACTATTTTCCTTGAGGTTTTTGTATTTTGTATTATAAACTAATAATAATAATACAAAAAAAGGAATTTAGAGTGTTCTGCCAGATGGAGCTGGGTGGGAAGGGCTTCAGTTCAGCAGTGGAGATATGCCCATCATTTAAATAGTTGTGGGAAACTGATTGGAGATTGGCAGAGTCCAGCCTTTGAAAGCAATATGGCTCTTAGCTCTGGCCCAAGTTGAATTGGGGGCACCAGGGCTGCTCTGGGCTCAGGCATTAAGTAAACAAGACACTGCTCTCCCGAGTGTCCAAAACAGATCCAGGGGAGAGGAGGGGTGAACTTCTTCCAGATTCCTTAAGTCAAGATAAATGATTTGAAAACAGAGAGTTCTTGAAACGTGTGGATTTAAAAATAAAATAAAATAAAATAAAAAAACATAAACAAAGCAGACATTTCAAAACATCTCAGAAAGAAAACCTTAAAATATTCATGGCTTGCACTTGGATAAAGTGGTTGCCTGCCAAGATAACCAGGGAAATGAGTTTTTAAATAATTTAAAATCTGGGCCTGTGACGAACAATGGGCGTTTGGGGGCCAAAGGCAAGGTTTTTCTGCCAAACTACGCCAAAGCAATACCCAGAATGGGCCACCTTTTGCATGCTGACCCATTGCTGAAATCCTAGACATAAATGGTCCAATTGGTGGTTTGGTATGCCTGGTGCATTTCAGTTTTTGTTTGAATATTTTTTTTTCTCCCTCAATGAATATTCCTGAGCGTACAGATTACAAAGTAGGCATCCAGTTCCACTCTGAAGCTCTCTCAGTGTGTTGCAGGTAAAATTTATGGAATGGTTCCAGTTTGCTGAGAGGTTAAAATGGTTCTGGATTTTAATCACATGTTGATAGATTTGTTTTCGCACACCAAACTTTTTGCAAGCCTACGTATCTCCCCTAGGCTCTTTCTAGGGTGTAGATGCCTTGTCGGCTGCAGGAACATCCAGTGTGCAATGCATCAACTTAGGTTTGGGTGGGATCTGGGAGGCCACCAAGAATCAAGTGGTGAAATTGAAAGAGATCCTCAGGATCGTGTCAAAGCCTCAACAATCTGCAGGAAAACTACTTAAACTGTCCTCAAGAGGAGCAATGGATCCCTCTCTTGGAAGCATCCAGAGATGGAGAACTGAAGCAAATCAATCAATCAATCAATCAATCAATCAATCAGAATAGAGCTGGAAGGGACCTTGGAGGTCTTCTAGCCCAACCCCCTGCTCAACCCAGAGGACCTATACCATTTCAGACAAATGGCTGTCCAGTCTTTTCTGGCAAGCCTCCAGTGACGGAGCATCCACAACTTCTGGAGGCCAGCTGTTTCACTGGTTAATTATCCTCACTGTTAAGAAGTTTCTCTTTAGTTCCAGGTTGCTTCTCTCCTTTAGTTCCCATCCATTGTTTCTTGTCCTGCCTTCTGGTGCTTTGGAAAATAATTTGACCCCCTCTTCTTTGTGGCAGCACCTCAAATACTAGAATACTGCCATCATGTTACCCCTAGTGCTTCTTTTCTCTACATTACCCCTACCCTACACATTTGTGTAGGTACACACTGATCTGCCGTATACAGATCTTACTTTCAAGAAGATTTTCCTTACATTTAAATGAAATCTACCCGTTGCAACTTTTTCAGTTTTTTTTTTTTTTACTTAGTTACATGGACTTGGAAAATTAATGGCCAACTTCTCTGTGGCCTCCTTTTATGTCCTCTGACAGGATACCATGATTCTTGGGTCTCCTTTTCTCCAGATTCCTTCAAGTTGTCCTCCTAGGGACAAGTTTTCCAAAACTGGCAGCATCTTCGTCAACCTTCTCTAGTCCGGGGCTTTTCAATCTTTTCACCCATTGTGCCACTTTTAGGATATGGCAACATCCGAGTACCACCAGTCGCTTAGCAAGGGGTCAAAAACTTGACCAAAAAAAAAGAGAAGGAAAAAAGTAATAAAGTACAGGTAGTCCTCGACTTACAACAGTTTGCTTAGTGACTGTTCAAAGTTACAATGGCACTGAAAAAGGTGCCCCCCAAGCCACAGCCGAGCAAGACACCTGCCTGCCCGCCCGGCCGCGCTCTTTCTCCTGTCTGAGGTTTTCATTATTGTGGGCATTTTGTTGAGGATTGGCAGCGGGGGTGGGGTGGGGGGGTGTTTGGTTTTTATTTCACCCGTCTGCTGGGTGGTTGCAACAGGTTTTGGTCACTTCACCTGACTCTGGGACACTGTGACCGTCATAAATATGAATCAGTTGCCAAGCATCTGAATGTAAATCACAAGACCCTGGAGACGCTGCAATGTTCCAGCTGATGGGCGCTTCATGCCAGGTGCTGATCCTGGTGCTTCCGCTGAGCCCTGACAGCCCTGCAGCTCCAGCCGTCTCTCGCTCAGGCTTGTGCGGTGCTGCTACCAGTTCAGCTCATTCCCCTCCCCTGCTACCACTTTCCTAGAATGGTCGCGTACTACCTGCCAGGTGCCAATGTACCACAGGTGGTACCCATACCACTGGTTGAAAAGCCCTGCTCTAGACTCCCCTTCAACCTATCAATACAGGCAGTCCTCCACTTATCACCATTCTTTTAGCGACCGTTCCGAGTTACAACGGCGCTGAAAAAAAAAAAGCAACTTGCGCCGGTTCCTCAGGCTTGCAACCCTCCCAGCATTCTCACGGCCACGTGATTAAAAGTCGGGCATTTGGCAATCCAGCATTTGGCAACCCGTATTACCATAGTTGCAGCATCCTGGTGTGTGTGTGTGTGTGTGTGTGTGTGTGTGTGTGTGTGTGTGTACGCGCCTGTTGCGTGGTCACCATTTGCAACCTTCCCAACAAGCAAAATGAACTGGGGGAGCCGTTGACTTTAACAACCGCACGATTCACTTAATGGCCGTAGTGATTTTTTTTTACTTAAGAGCTGTAGAAAAAGAGGTTGTAAAATTGGGTGCAGCGTGTCACCCCTCGCGTGTCACTCCATTGCGGTTGCGAATCAAGGACGACCTGCTCAACTACCGTGGATCGGTTCCAGGCACTGAATGGGGCGGTGGGAGGGTGGGGGGAGGTTGGTCCTCTAAGAATGGCGCAGGGTGCAGCTTTTCAACCCCCCAAACTCCCTCCCTTAGCCCCGCGGGACTCCTTCCGTCCCGTCCCCTACACCTGAAAAGCCAGGACGGGTTTTCCCTCCCTCCCTTCGTCCCGCTCCTCTTCCCCGTCCCGTCTCTTTCAGGGCAACCGATTCCTCTGCTTCTTCTCCTCCTCCTCCTCTTTGGAATTCTCCCTCTCGCCGGGTTTTCCTTCCCGCTGCCCTCCGTCACTCGTCGGGGCGGAGTTCGGGAATGTCCGTGAGACACGAACTGAGCGAGAGAGAGAGAGAGAGAGAGGAGGGAGGAAGCCGAGCATCGCCTGCCGCGGCTCGGGGCGAGCCGGCGCGCGTGCGCAGGCGGACACGCCTCCTCGGGGCTTCCTCGGCCCCCTCTCCCTTCCTTTGGAATTCTGTCAGCTCAGCGCGCGCTCCCTCCCTGACAGACCCAGGCACACACAACGCGTGCGCGCGCGGTACAGAGGGGGGGGGGAAATCAATGGAAAGGCGGGTGCGCCTGCGCGGCCGGCCAACGGGCGAAGGAGCGTGAGGAGCAAAGGAGGGGAGAGAGAGAGAGAGAGGGGTGCGGGAGCGCGCGCCGCACGCACGGACGCACGCACGCACGCCGGAGCCGGGAGCGCGCCGGGCTGTTGCTCCTCCTGCCCGCCGCTGTCGGCGCGACTCTCTGAGGCGAAAAAAGGGGCTCCGCGGCGGCGGGACCGGCCCGCCATGGAGTGACCCCCCCCCCTGCCTCCCTCCCTGCCCGCCTTCTTGCCTCCCTTCCTCGGCGCGGGGCGCAGAAGGCGCTGAGCCCGCTCGGCTGCCCTGGCCGCCGCCGCCGCGCCCCCTCTGCGTGCCCGGCCGCCGGCGTGAGGGGGAGCGAGCGATGGCGGCGCGGGGCGCCTGGCGGCGGCTGCTGCTGCTCAGCTCGCTCTGGGTCGCGCTGCTCGGCGGGCAGCGCCCCGACTCGGCCGCCCGGAGCGCCGCCGCTGCCGCCGCCGCGCCGCCTCAGCAGCAGCCCGCAGGTGAGTGCCCGGCCGGTGGGGAGGGGGCTTCGGGGGGGAGGGGGGCGCAGCCAGGAGGGGGTTTCGGGGGGCGCCTGCGGAGGGCAGGAGGAGGAGGAGGAGGAGGGTCTCTCTCTCCTCGGCGTCGCCTCCTTTACCCTGCCCGGAATCCCCCCCCTCCGAAAGGGACCCCCCGACACCCACCCCGGGGTCTCGGCGGGGCTGCTGGCCTCGGAGCGGGGACGCCGCGCAGGGTCCTTCCCCCCCCCCGCAGGCGCCGGCCTCGGCTGCAGGAGCCGGCGGGGGTCGCTCCTTTCTTCACCCCCCCCCCGGTCTCTCTCTCTCTCTCTGTCTCCTTTTTCTCTCTCTCTCTCTCTCTCCTCCTTTCTCTCTCTCTCTCTCTCTCTCTCTCTCTCCTCCTTCTCTCTCTCTCTCTCTCTCCTCCTTTCTCTCTCTCTCTCTCTCTCCTCCTTTCTCTCTCTCTCTCTCCTCCTTTCTCTCTCTCTCTCCTTTCTCTCTCTCTCTCTCTCTCTCTCTCTCTCTCTCTCCTTTCTTTCTCTTCCTCCTTCTCCCTTGGCCTCCCCCAGGCAGGGGACCCCGTCCCTCCCCGTGCGTGGCTGTTTGTGTTTGTGTGTCTCTGAATGTGTGTGGGTGTGTGTGTGTGCGCGGGGTTTGCCGGTGTGTGGGGTCTTTTCTCAGCCGTCTCTTGGCGATCCAGGCAGTGGTGCTGATGCTGCCTGCGAAGGGGGGGGGGGAGAAGGGGTCCCTTTCTCCCCCCCCAGCCAGAAAAACGGACATCAAAGGATGGAAAGAGGTGCTTCCTCCCCTCCCTGCACCCCCCTCTCTTTCTCTTTCTGCATTTCCTCCTTCTGCCCACTTTTCCTCCCCCAGGAAAAAAAAAAGGCCACACAGGTTGCTTCCACTTGTAAGAGTCCCATCCGGAGGTGTTTCACAAGGATTTGGTGTGCCAGCAGAGGCCACTGCGCCTCCCCGTAATAGACAGTTACTGGTGCCATTTACTACTACTACTACTATTACTATACTACAGCTACTACGACTACGTGGCTGTAGAGTAAGTAGGCAGGAGGGAGAGCCCCTGCAGAAGTGCGTCTTTGGTTGGTCATTCATCAGCGCATACCCCTCCTCTCTCCACTCCCCATTGCATTGGATGAGTGGTGCTCTTTTGAGATGGGAGACAAATGGTAGGGGGAACCTGGTGGTATTTCTTTAGGGGAAATCCCCCCCTTCACCTGCTTGGCTTTCTGCAATCAGTGTATTTTTACTCCTGAAAAGGAGCTGGTGTGTGATGCCGGCACTGCGTGCATTGTCCTTAAGTTATGTCAGGTGCAGTGGCGTGCAAGAGCTAGCCTTCAATCTTGTGGGTGTGTAGTGTGATCCCGGGCTTGTTTACTTCTAAAAACCTGGGCAGGATGGGAAGCTTGTGTTAGCAATTAGGGAGCTGCCCACGTAAATGGCTTTTTGTGTTATGGAAAGTAAAGTTAATTAACTGCCAGAGGAATGTGTAAGTTGCAGCCCCACATTAGGGAGGTGCAACGTGTTTTTGAACCTGCAACATTTCAGATTTGAAATGCTTTCAATAAAAAATGTGCATACCTTAATCCTGCACTATAAGAGGCTGGGTTCTTATTGTACAGTTAAGGAGACCAGATATTAAAACGGATGAAAACAGATTCAGTCCCGTCAGAAATGTCTAAAACAGCCTCGAATGGTTATGCTTGTCTTTTTGACATTACACATCAAGGTACTTACTATATCTGGCATGGATTTTGTTTTTCAGTGTATTAGATCTGTAGCGATCTCAGCTTTTTAGTACCTGTACTATTCCTGGAGTATCCTGTGGTTATGGTACATGGCTGAAACTGAAAAAAACAAGTTGGCAGTGTATATTTTTTGGTAGTAAATGTGTACACACAAACAGAATGTTAATTGGAGTACATTTCTTTACTGTTTAGCTGGGATGCTACCTCGAATTGAAATCAGAATAATGCTGAGAAAAGGCATGTAAACTGCAAATGGCTCTTATTTCAGCTATTTCATATCTTCCAGTTGGTTTTATTACCACTTTAAACATGCTGCCTGAGGATGATGCCAGTTGTAATCCAAAACATTTAGAGGGCAAACATGTTGGAGAAGACTGAAATTCTGAATGGTAATAAATAGTACTATTAAAACTGTGCGCTGGTTTTAGTTTATGCCTTATAATCTTTACTAACCGTTTTCAAGTATATATTTGAGCTCAGCATCCTTGTGTATTTTCAGTCTTGAGGTGAGTTTAGATGACTGACATGCAAAAGTCCTGACATGGCAGTGCTTGTAGCTACTGATACTGCAGTTTGAAAAGTCAGTCATAAATGTTTGGTTGTGCTCTTCGAATGTTTACATCTTTGTAGAGTGACTTAGTACTTAGTACTTGAAATGTTTCATTTTTTTTCAATTTACTTTTGGTTATGTGCTATTCTGCAACAAAATTTCTTTGTGTGGCTGACAACATAAAACTAACAATCACTGCAAGAAGTGATACTATAAAGGGAAAAAAAAAACATCAGGTGATTAAAATAAAGAGCAGGGGGATAAAAAGCACAATCCACAAATGGCATTAAAATCGCTGCAGTTTAAAAGACTTAGAAAGATAAAAGGTGCTAAAGAGGCAATAAACAAAATCTCAGGTAGTTTTTTTTTTTTGAGGAAAGGAATTACTATTAGGAGGCTGCGGCTGAAAACTATTGTAATTGCTCATTGAAAGTTTCCATCTCTGATATTCTGTAAAGGGCTTCTGGTGATATGTTCTCAAGGTAGATTTAGAACTAGTGGCTCAAGATTTAGTACTTATAGCACCGTCTCCACCAATCTGAATTGACCCAATACACCAGAGCATCTAAGGCAGAGGTCCCCAACCTTTTGGGCACGAGGGACCGGTTCTGTGGAGAAAGTGGAGAGTGCGTGTTTTTGTGTGCTGCCTGCATCCCACGGATGGGGCTCTGCTTGTTTATGCGGACCGGTTGCTGGCATGCCATGGCCTGGTACCAGTCCACAGAATAGGGGTTGGGGACCCCTGATCTAAGGAGGAGCTCCTTATGATCCTGCACGTCAAGGAAGTGAAAGGAGCTGAAGTCAGGAAGTACTACGTTTCAGTGGCATCACCAGATTTGGGAATTCAGGTAGTCCTTGAATTACAACCATAGTCAGGATCAGAATTTCCATTGCTAAGTAAGGTGGTTGTTAAATGAGTCATGCTTGTTTTTAGGACTTTTAGGACTTGCCAAATCATTGCAATTGTTCAGCAAATCACAAAACCATCAAGCGAATCCAGATTCCCATATTGACTTTGCTGTCAGAAGGAGGTTGGGGGAAAGTCCAAATGGCCTTGAGACCATACCAAGTGCCCAAATTTTCGTCATGTAGGAATGAGGATGCCGCAAAGGTCATAAGCGGGAAGACTGGTTGAGCTGTTGTAGCTTCAAACAGTTGCTAAATGAATGGTGGCAAGCCAAGGACTTTTCCCAAGGGAGATCAGACTAGCCTTCTCCCTGATGATTTTTAGAAGGATGTTGGAGAGCTTTTCAGCTGAGTTCATGACTTGTCCATCTTTTATTCACGTTTATGTTTTGCCTTTGTTTTTGTAATAATTGACAGAATTTATTGGTTTATGATTTTATGGTTTATTTATTTTTTTATGTTTTATGTACTGTGGGTCTTTTAATTTTTCACATAATGGAAGCTGCCAAAAGTCCTTGGACTGCAGTAGGATATCAACATGACTGATAGGTATAAAGATAAATAGATAATAAACAAATTCTGTCCTTGAAAATGGCCAGAAGATGGAGAAAATGGTGGGGGTGTGCAACTGTCCCAGTGATCTTATGCAAAACGTCCTCTAGGACAGAGGTAATGAATAGTAGCAACTAACAGAGTGGGATACAATGGCTTCGTCTCTAAATTGTTTCCCTTGAGAATTGCCAGTGAGTCACTCAAAACAGACAACTATGATTCTGTAGCATCTCACAAGGCAACTGTCGTAAGACAAAATTTGTGAGATGGTGAAATAGTATAAAAAATAGTATAAACAAGTATAAAAAAGCAAAACTCCCCTACCGCTATACATTATTGGAACATTGTGTTTTTCAACAAGGGTGATGATTTTTATAATGTTCATGTTTGAATTGCTGTTATCATCAAAGAGCAAGATGGGACTGTAGGGTTATGGAGGCTGGTGTTTCTTTGAATGAAAGGGAATCCTGGCTCCTCCCCTCCTTCCACTAAATTGTAGTGGTCTCAATATAATAGAGGAAGGTGGGGGGAATATGTGAAATAATATCTATACCTCACTATTGCTGTGATTGTTGTCATCACAGATGAAATAAGCCAGATAGGAACTGAGATAAAGGGAATTCTGCAGTAGAGCTGAAGTGAACAACTAAAACACTTCTGCTTCTAAAAATCAGTTTCACAGTACTGAGTCCCAGTGTAGGATGAAACTATGTAGAAGTAGATAAAGGAACAGAAGTTGGCGTGAATAGTGTGATCCGTTCCTTCATGGAAAGGAGAGTAAATGGCTTCTCTTGGGGCTATTGTTGTGACGAGTGGCAAAGAACTTTATGAAAAAAAAAGGGAGGGGGAAGCTCCAGGTTTTGCTATTTCTTCATAATCTATTGCAAAACCTGGGTTTGTATATATTCGCTAGCAAAACAATGCTTATTTTTATAGCACAGGTATATGGAAAGTTAACATAGCTTGATTAAGAAGGGCAGTATATTTCTCCAGGAATTTGTAAATGCTATGTTAGTTTGAGGAACTAGTCTGTCCAGCTTAGTGCTCTATTTAACATAATTCAAATCATGTTGCTTCAGATAATTCAAATTCAGATATGATTATTTTGGGTCAGTGACCTAGTTTCACATAATACTTTCTTTGGAGAAAATGTGAGAATTCTTCATTATTCCTTGGTGTCAGATTGGCACTTAGCTAGTTTGTTGTTGGGCTGGTTCCCAACCATCTGCTCA